ATGTTCTCAGACGTGAACTCAGCAACAGTCTGGATGGGCGTAAAACAAGCTGAATTTGTGAAAACGCTGCAGAGTTTGAACGTGACCGTTTTTTAAAAGCGTGTTTGGGTGCTGAAGGAAAATGAGCAGGAATCCACCCAGGAAAAATACATTTTTAAACTGCATATTTCTTAATATTTAAAAATTTTTGCATTTTTAATGTTTGCATCTCATGCCAATACCTAGAGAACAATTTATTATTTATTATTATTATTAATAGTAGTAGTAGCAGTAATTAGTAATAGTTTTAGTGATTTAAATTCATAAATGTCAATTGAAAGAAAATAGTTTGAAAAGTTTTGGACAGTTTTCTTTTGAAATGATGCCACACCTGTTTTACTTTGTGGCCTCAATGCAATACTAAACTTTGCAACAACAACAAAAAAGTTTTTGGATATCTAGTAGATTTTCAGTGTGGATTGAATTTCGGGTAAAAAGTTCCTTGAATTTACAGCCATCTATTGTCGCTCCCTGGGGCAGAGAGCATGATGGGAAAGGAAGTGATGAATTCCCATACCATCCTGAAAAGATATTCTTCTCTGTCTGAAGCTGAAACTGCCTTATCTTGACTTCAGTGTTTTACTGAACAGAGAAGCAACTGAGATATGAGAGGAAGAGATGTCAGATGAGAAAAAAAGTGGGAAAACAGCAAGAGACAAAGTGAAAGTGAACTCATCCACCCACTTGTGCTGATAAAACTAACGGAAAAAGTACAGAAAAGTGAAAACTGAGACGCATACTAGTTATGACAGCAGTACTGTTTTTCTTCTTTGAAAAATGGTGAGTGAAAGAAGGTGCTTAAAATATGTTGACTGTCAACCTCAGGAGGTCAAACTAAATATTATAGGTCAAACTAAAATATTATATTAATTTATTTTAATTTTATTTAATTTTGCAATCCCATTACCAAACTTTGGAGCATTAATTTGTTAATTTTTTAATCAAAATTAAATAGAAAAAATTTATAATATAATATAATATAATATAATATAATATAATATAATCATCATGCCAAACTAGTCCTCATACATAACTGCATTTGTGCACAGATATTTAAAGAAAAGTAATCACGGCAGACCAAAGTGGTAAAAAAAAAAATGAAATCAGTCATTGAGAGCTAAAAGTGTAATCCCAGAAAGAAGATGGATGCTGAAGAATGAACAACAGAAGAACGGGTCTCATCTGAAGGGCGATGTTTATGAGTTCTCCGCACAGGTAGCTCCCTCTGAGTTACACTAATGAGGAAAGCAGATGGTGCTCTCACATACACACCTCTCAGTTGTCATAGAGGGAGGGATTTACATGAAGCTCTGCTAATGACTCTTTCAGTTGTTCACTTGTCGTCTCAGGTGTGTGTCCTGCTCTACTCTCTGACTGTCCTCCTGTGACGAAGTGCTCAGAAGCATGAGAACGTGACTATTCACTACAGCAGAAGTCTTTTTGATAGTGACCTAGTTTAAAGTCTGAAGATACACACACACACACACACATCTCAGAAATGTTTATGAAGCATCTGGCCCGACTCGCTTGCTCTATCGTTTGCCCTCTCAATCCTGAGCAACAAAACAATTTGTCACAAGTGACAAACCTCTCTCTCCCAATGTTGCCCACCAACACCAGCCATATTTCTCCCAAATATATTTATTTAGTTAGTTAGTTAGTGTAAAATAAAAGTTTTTGTTTATATAATATATGTGTGTGTGTACTGTGTATATTTATTATGTATATATAAATACACACACTCATTTGTCTGAGCATTTTAGTACTTCATTTTCAAACTATGGTGACAAGACCACAAGCTGAGTACTTTGGGCACTGGAGATAAAGATCTGATTCCCTCTCACTAATCTCTGCATTCCCATTGAAGAAGCCTGTAGGAACTTGACTGGAGTGTGTTTAAGCTCCCACTTCCTGCAGGCCACTTTGTTCAACTCTCACCGTGAAGTTATCAGTTCATTGTTTGAGCATGAGCAGATAATCATCACCCTGAATAAGCTTCCAACACTCCTAACCTACACTGAACCAGTTTGGCTCACATTTATTTGAAATACAAACCTTTTGTAAAAACATACATGTCTTTACTGTCACTTTTGATCAATTTAATGTCTCTTTGCTGAAAAAATTATTAATTTCTTAAAACAATGGACCCCCAACCTTTTAAATGGTGTTATGTTGTTATATGATGTTATGTTATGTTATGTGTTATGTTATGTGTTATGTTATGTGTTATGTTGCGTTATGTGTTGCGTTATGTGTTGCGTTATGTGTTGTGTTGTGTTATGCTATGCTATGCTATGCTATGTTATGCTATGCTATGTGTTATGGGGCTGTCAAATCGATTAATCGCGATTAATCACATCCAAAATAAACGTTTGTGTTTACATAATGTGTGTGTACTGTGTATACTAATATATAAATACACACACATGTATATATTTAAGAAATATATATGTGATATATATTAATTAATCACGATTAATCGATTTGACAATCGATTATTCGATTTGGCCCTAATATTGTATATTATATTATATATTGCACTGGTGTTTGCAGATGCCACTTGGTTTAATATTTTGGTTTTTGTATCTAATGCAATAACATTCAGAAATTATAAGTGTGGCCAAGTCCAAATACTTTTGGAGGCCATTGTCTACAGCGCATTTAAGTCAATAAAACAAATCCCTTTTCAGAAAATGAGCTCACAGTCTTTCTGCTTGCTGCCTACTGATTATAATCCATTGAGTTTACCCAACTAACCCTGGAGCCGCGCCAGACCTCAACTCAAGGGGCCACTTCAGCACAACAGCAGGGCTTCAGGACTCAGGCAGGGACGTTTTACACATGTACGGTGTGTGCAGGCTATACTTTAGTCTGCTGTGGCTTTAAAGGACTGGTTAAGTGTAGAGAGACAGCCAATGATTTCCTACAGTAATGAAAAGGCACCATTAGGATGGAAGCGTGTCTGGAAAAAACATGCATTATGGGACGCTTTTAGTTATGCTATGTAGCAGGCATACACATATAGTAAGTCTAAATATAGTGCGTGAAGACCATAAACTAGAGTAAAAACAGGGCTTTTGGACTATTGAAGGAACACTTATTGAGTGTTTTAGCTTTTCTGCATGACAAGGCATATTTGTTTGTGTGTGTGTATGTGTTTGGAGTGAGTGACTTACAGAGATAAGGATTTGGAAGCCGCTGTGCAGGACTTCAATGTACTGGTACTCCAGCAGGCAGCCCATGATGGATATATAGGACTGTGTGTCTGCGCTACGGTTTCCGCTGGCAGGGATCTCTCTTCGGACACAGCCTGGCCCGTGCTCGCTCCACCAGGAGTGGTGTGCCGACATGTTAAAGGTCAAGAGGTCGCTGTCCTAAAACAACAGAGAGGAGGAGCTGTCATCAGCCTCAGCCACATGTCAATATAAAGGATGAGGGAGTGAGTGACAGAGAGGCTGTGCGCTGTAAAGCATGCATGCATAATTGAACACGGAGCTGACAAATAATCTGTTCCATAGACATGAGAGAGGGAGGAAAGACACGTATACATACAAAAGATGGAAGAAGCACACTATCGCTTTTAATATGCGTTCAGTGTTTATTTGTTGTGGTCATATTTATGACCGATTTTACACATGAAAACTGATAAATTAGGTAAAATTGTGGTGTGTTATGCATTAGTTATTCACACAAGCAATTGTTTTCTGTGGTTACATATTTTATACACACACTATCTCCATTATGTTGTTAAATCTCTCACATTATAATCTCTCACATTATCTACTAGCAGTTAGGGCCAGGCAATTTATGACAGTGTATTTTTGGCAATGTAAATTTAACCAACATTGTGAATTTTGTGATGATTTAAACATATTTTATGATGATAAACATAAACATTTTTATTTAGCACTTAAGTTTCATTAAAACCATGTCAGTAGATCACATTTATATGTATTTATTATTATATGCCTTTTTTACTGGTCTATATAAATACAATAAATTATATCAAATAAATCACATAAATCGTTTTAAAAACAATATATTATTGAATAAAAAAAAGTTTGGAATAATTACGTTTTTTTGAGAGAAGTCTCTTATGCTCATCAAGCCTGCAGTTATCTGATAAAAATACAGTAATAACAGTAATAGTGTGACATTACTAAATTGTAATATTTTACAATATTCTGGTTTTTAATATTAAGACATTTTTTTACAATTTCTTCTCAAAAATTATTGTTTTCTATTGTAATATGTTTTAAAATGCTGTTTGGTTCTGTGATGCACAAGAAAAACATTAATTTTGTAACTAATAGAGTTTAATTAGTTTTTAAATAAATATTAATCAATAGAGTGTGTGCGTATGTATGTATGTAAATATCTACATATATTTAAAAATAATTAAAAAATAATAATTTATGCATTTAGCAGACGCTTTTATCCAAAGCGACTTACAGTGCATTCAGGCTATACATTTTTTACCAGTATGTTAAAATATATTAAATAAAATATATAAATATAAAAATATATATAAAAACATAAATATATAGATAGTATCTAACAGGCTATAATGCACGTGTGGACAAAATAGAAAATAAAATTTTGGAAAGAAAAATAAAGGAACAAACACTTTAAAGGCATTTTAGAGCAAGTACATAAATATCAGGAAATATATCAAATATCATAAAAGTGCTGACAATATTACTAGCTATATGGCCCAGCCCTATTATCATTTTGTGCAACAGCTTGTTCAGGAATACTATCTTACAACATTTCTTTCCATTTAAAATAAAAATTTCTGACTCCCAGTTCACATATTACTGCAAATAAAGGGAATAATCATGTTTGCGTCTGTTCACACAGTCCTTAACCTGAACGCTGCATGTGTGAAAGTGCAGTGAAATACAAGTGTCACCTCAAAGTTATGTGTCTGTTTTGCAAATGTTCCTCATACGCTCACGGATACGTGTACATCAGATGTAATGGATTCTGTCAATCCACACAGTTCTCAGGCTGTATGAGATGAATGACACTTGTCAAAATGAAAACTTATGGACTTTTCCTATGCTTATTAGAGAGGAACTCGTCCTTGACCTCTTTCTGGCTAATGGAGACACAGAGGCGTTTGTCCCCTTCATCATCGGCAGGCATTAGCATTATACACTATATGTCACTGAAACGTATGGACTTTCCTATGCTTATTAGAGAGGAACTCGTCCTTGACCTCTTTCTGGCTAATGGAGACACAGAGGCGTTTGTCCCCTTCATCATCGGCAGGCATTAGCATTATACACGTCACTATATGTCACTGAGAAGAGCGTGTGTTTGCGTGTTCAGAGAGGGGGTCGATACAGACCGTCCTGTCCCGTATTTAATCATAGCCACAGTGTGAGACTGACAGTCACAGCCTGCGGCCATGCATGAGAGGACAACCCCACCAAAACACCTCAATCAAGCAGACAGAGAGAGAGAGAGAGCGAGAGAGCGTGTTTCATAAAGTGACCAAGCACTTAATATGCCTTTCCTCTTCAGTGTTTGAATATCATAGGTGGACACTATCATACTGACAGTGCGATCAGTTAAACAGCAACATGGATGCACTGCCTCATTTCACATATTTTGCCTGCATTTCATGGATACCAGCACACTGCAGCATTCAGAATTGAATTGAGAATGTTTAAATTACACTAAATTACAGTTCAATTCCTAAAATAAATTTGAATTTATATAGCAAACATGAAGCAGAATTGTAATTCAAGCAAGTGGAACTACAATGAATAGTTATTTAAATACCCCTACCCATTGAGAGACAGACAGATAGACAGATACAGTATAACAAATATTGCGAGACAGACAGACAGACAGGCAGACAGATATAATAAACATATTGCGAGACTAAGAGAGACAGACGTGATAAACATCGTGAGACAGAGAGACAAACAGACCTAATAAACACATTGTGAGACAGACAGACATGATAAATATAATTTAAAACAGACAGGCATAATAAACACTACCAGACAGATAGACAATGAGAGACAGACAGACATAATAAACACTACCAGACAGATAGACAATGAGAGACAGACAGACATAATAAACACTGCGAGACAGACAGATAAACAAAGAGAAAGACAGAGAGACAGACAGACAAACATGGCAAGAGAGACAGACATGATAAATATTGTGAGACACTGACAGACAGTTTATCATGTGAATCACATGATAAACACTGCGAGACAAACAGACAGACAGACAGACACGATTAACTGGAAGACAGACGGACATGATAAACAATGCAAGACAGACAGACATGATAAATACTGGGAGACTGACAGACATGACAAACAATGCAAGACAGACAGACATGATAAACACTGGGAGACTGACAGACATGATCAACACTGTAAGAAAGACAGGCATAATAAACACTGGGAGACAGAAAGACATGATAAACACTGAAATAGACATGATAAACACTGTAAGACAGACAGGCATTATAAACACTGGGAGACAGACAGACATAATAAACTATGCAAGAGACATACATGATAAACACTGGGAGACAGACAGAAATTATAAACACTGGGAGACAGACAGGTATGATAAACAATGCAAGACAAACAAACAAACATGATAAACAAAACATGAGACAGACAGACAAACACTAGAAACAGACAAACACTGCGAGACAGACAGATAAAAATAAAGAGAGACAGACAGAAACACTATGAGACAGAAAGACATGATAAACACCACAAGATAGACAGACCTACATGATAAACATTGTGAGACATTGACAAAGACAGTTTATGTGAACCACATGATAAACACTGCAAGACAGACAGACAGACAGATATGATGAACACTGTAAGACAGACAATGAGAGACAGACAGACATGACAAACATTGTGAGACACTGACATAGACCATTTATCACTATCATCATGAGAACCATATGATAAACACTGCAATACAACAGACACACGATTAACACTGCAAGACAGACAGATAGATAGACATGATAAACACACTGAGACAGACAGAAAAACATGATAAACACTGTGTGAGAGAGAGACAGACAAACAGACACTATAAACACATTGACGGACTGACGGACAGATAGACAGATATGATCAACATTACAAGACAAACAGATAGGCAGATTTGATAAACACTGCGAGACGGCAGACAGAGAGACAGACAGACAGACAGACAGATACATAGAATCTAATGTCAGACTGTTTCATTCAGACTCATTCTAATCATAATCAGTCTTACAGTAGGGGGTCCTCAGTGCAGCATGATATTATCATATGGCGTGTCATTTGCTGTATGACAGTAGAGACATCAGTGAGCTATATACTCAATATACATATTTTGAGGTGTTTCATTGAGGCTTGTGGTGGGCCGTGTTAATGCAGGGGTTGCATGAAAAAGGCTGAATAATGGGGAGCAGGTGGCAGAGGGTCGGACTCAGGCATTAACCTGACAGATGGACACACAGCGCTCCCTCACCGCTACATATGGACAGCAGGAGGACACACACACACACGCACATATAAACACACAGAGACTAAAAATAAAGGATCAATGCGCAAACTTGCTGCTTTCTGGACAGCAGATCTGTCTGAATCAGCTCATGAATATTCATGCATTGACTTTATGGTGAGGGGGGGTTTGGGGGAAGGGTGTCCCACCTGTGACAGCACAGTAAAGAAAAGGGAGGGAGTGACGGAGCATGACTGTGTGAGACAGAGGAAGAAGAGGATGAGGATGAAAGACAAAAAACCCCCCACAAAAATCAAGGTAGCATAAAATGTGACTGAGCACATAAGCATAAAATAAATTAATAAATAAGCGCAGAAAATACTTCCCATATCTTTTGTTGTTAACGTCCAAGGCCATGAGTCCAATTACACAACTCTCTTATGAGCAAAGAACAAAGCTAAAAAGATTCAAATAAATACATGAATCAAACAACATTAAATACAGCTGATACAAATATAAGGGTGGATTGTGCTGAACGCATTATGTTTTGTGGGATGAATTATTGGCTGCTGAGCCATTGAGGCCACTGAAATTCAAGAGACACTAAGACACCAAGCTCTCAAACTATAAGAAAAAGCCTGTTGAGATTTTTCAAAGTAAGATATATAAGAAACAAATGAATAAACTACTGTTTAAAAGTTTGGATTTGGTAAGATTTTTTAATGTTTTTGAAAGAAGTCTCGTGTTCATCAAGGTTGCAGTTATTTGATCATAAATACAGTGAAAACAGCAATATTGTGAAATATTACTGCAATTAAAAACAACTCTTTTCTATATGAATATATTTTAATATGTAATTTATTTCTGTGATGCAAAGCTGAATTTTCAGCATCATTACTCCAGTCTTTGGTGCCGCATGATCCTTCAGAAATCATTTTAACATTTCTTAATCATTTAAACGTTAAATAAATTAAAATAAGAGCATTTATTTGAAACAGAAATCTTCTGTAACATTGCAATGTCTTCATGATCACTTTTGATCAATTTAACGCTTCCTTGCTGGATTAAGAATTTTGTATTGTAAACAATTTTGATACTGTGTTGCCTCTCCACTTGATGTCCAAAATCTGGATTTTGAAGCAAAACCGGTAAAGAAACATCCTCTAAACAGGTACGCAGAACATTCTTACTTTCTTTACTGAGGAGGATGTAATTAACCTCTTTTGTTGGACCTGGAACAACATTCCTGTCAAACAAAACATTATCCTAACCCTATTCCCAACCACAACTATTATCATTTCTTAAAATGAGAGGGAAATTAAATTATGTTCAGACCCCAAACTTAGTCCTAACTTAACTGTAACCCCTGAAATCTGATTGGTTAGTTCCAGGGAAAAAAAAGAAGAAAAAAAAGAGTACTGTATGTTGATCCAGGAACATGTTCTGCTTGATAAAATCATGGTCACCCAAACCCAATATTTCCTAAGTATGAATTCTGTATGTTTTTTTGGACAAATTTTTCCGTTGTCCTGGGATAAAATGAGTCATTTGTCCCATGCAGCTGCAACAATTGTGGAAAAGCAGCTCATTATATTATACATGTACCAGATTTACTCCTCATGCATCTGCATGCAGACTTTAAGATGTTCTTGTGCAATCTCACTCCACCTTCTGAAAGCGGATAAGAGCTTTTCATTGTGGGAACAAGAAATCTGAGTCCAGGAAACTGGCCAAGCAGGAGTCATAAACAAGCACACACAGAGAGAGGAGAATGTGTCAATTATACATCCAGCTTGTTTCTCACTGTACTAACACACTAGGGGCTGAGTGTTTGAGTCCATGACCTGTCAGCACATGTAGACAGAAGTGTATCATGGGATGGGTTGGGGATAACACAACTTCTGCTTTCCAAAAGGCTTTCATCTGAATTCATTTCCTCTACAAAGAAGCCCTGTTGTTTTATGTGCCAGTTTCTGGTGTGTTCAATGCAAACTTAAGTGTAAGACACAAAGCTCTGGCACTTCTAAACAATGTTTTAAACAGTCTGTTAAAACATCATAAACTGCCCCATTTAGATGTAAAACAGGGTCATTAAAAATGCCTCGTACTCTTAAACACTGACGGCTGACCCATGTGTAACTTTAGGCGGGAATCTCTCTTACCTTTGATAGACCTCCAACCTCCAGGTAGAAGCAGATGATAAAGACATTCCAGGCCACCCACAGCGCTGTCCACACAGTATACTGTCAAAAAGATGGACAATTCATTACTCCAACAATTCATTCCAACATTCAAACATAGGCTACACTGGTATGGTCACATTTACTGTTGCGCGATGAAACTTCACGGGCAAAATCCACCCATTTCAATAGGAATCTGCACATTTGGCAATTTTGTGAAAATGTCCCAAAGCAGACTTCGCTCATGTTCAAGTTGATCACATGAATTTGCAGCGCTGACCAACCTGAAAGCTGATTTGTTGGAAAGTGACTTCTGTGTGAGCTGTACTTTTTACATCTTTACACTATTGACAATGTATTTAGTTTGTCCCCTAAATTTCAATGAAATATCGCTAATGTGGCCACAGTATAAGAAACTTCTGTAAAAAATATGATACAAATGCATTTTGTTAATGTGGGGGGAAAAAACTATATAGATTTTTCTCAGGTATTTTACCTGTATTTTGAATTTGTTGTGTTTTAGGGTTGAAGGAAATGCCTATAAACTTGACAGAAAAAGTAATTTTCTGCCAGGACATTATCCATTTTTCTATGGATTTTTTTCTTATACTGTATGTTACGATACATAACATACAGCCTTATGCTAATGTGGCCACAGTATAAGAAACTTCTGTAAAAAATATGATACAAATGCACTTTGTTAATGTGGGGGGAAAAAAACTATATAGATTTTTCTCAGGTATTTTACCTGTATTTTGAATTTGTTGTGTTTTAGGGTTGAAGGAAATGCCTATAAACTTGACAGAAAAAGTAATTTTCTGCCAGGACATTATCCATTTTTCTATGGATTTTTTTCTTATACTGTATGTTACGATACATAACATACAGCCTTAAAGAGATCGTTGACTGAAAATTTGAAATTTTGTTATTATTTACTCACCATCATGTCATTACAAACCTATATGACTTTCTTTGTTTCTGCTTTTTGTTCATACAATGAAAGAGATCTAAAACAACTTTTGGACTAGGGCTGCACGATAAATTGCATGCGATATTTAACGCGCATCTTGTCAGTAAAGCCATTCTGTAATCAGCGGTAAATCTCCATCACGTGCGTGCAATGCTGCTCCATGTGAAAGCACGCACGTGATGGAGATTTACCGCTGATTAAAGAACTGGCTTTACTGACAAGATGCACGTTAAATATCGCATGCGATTTATCGTGCAGCCCTATTTTGGACCCCATTGACTTTCATAGTATAAACAAAACATTTTCATCTCTTTTTTTGTGCTCCACAGAAGAATAAATGACAAAATATTCATATCACATCACATTATTTCAGTAAAACCATTCAGGACACTCTTAAAAATAAAGGTGCTTAAAAGGTTCTTCACAGCGATGCCATAGAAGAACCAATTTTGGTTCCACAAAGGACCATTCAGTCAAAGGTTCTTTAAAGAACCATCTCTTTTTTACCTTTTTATAATCTGAAGAACCTTCTTTCACCACAAAGAGCCTTTTGTGAAACAGAAAGGTTCTTCAGATGTTAAAGGTTCTTTATGGAACCATTTAAACAAAAAAAGGTTTTTCTATGGCATCGTGAAGCACCTTTATTTTTAAGAGTGTACCATAGTATATATTAAAGTACCATGGTATTACCACCTGATACTATCACTGTACCACTGTACTACCACATTGGACAACTTTTATTCAAGGGACAGCTGGCAACTACCCATCTAGAACAAGTTCAAACTCAAGCCGTTCCAGTAGCAGTAACATCAGAGCTGTTGTATATGGGAAACAGAAGTCGAGTAGATGCTTGAAAACATCCGCAGTGAGCTTGTTTGGATTTAGGGCTCAGTCTCGAGAAAAGCACATTTCTTTTACACAGGCTCTTATCGTTCATCTCCAGATTTGTATCTTTCTTTGTTCTGATTTTATCTTCTTTTTATAGCAGAACATCTCATTTGAATGGTCTCTTCCTAGTCGTTTGTACTGTTGTTTACCACACACAAACACAATCAATTAGGATTTTACGAACCTATAAATCCCATTGAAATGCTCATCTGAATTAGCGCTCCAACCTGAGCCGGCTGGTATATAAACTCCCAGAAAGGGAAAAAGAAATGAGCGTTAATTTTTGTCAATAGCACGAAGCAGATCGTTCTCATGGGGAGTTGAAAGAGAATACAGAAGTCTATGCTGCATAGTAAAAATGGATCTCAGGTTTCCTGTCAGTGCCTTACAGAAGACCAGCTTGAGACGACTTTATAGAGCAATTTTCTCCAAACTGCAGAAGACTGTTTTCAAAACGCCCTCCACTGGGATTTCCTCCACAGATATACAAAGATCAGAAGACTACTTTGTTTGAGGATTTTTCTATTTTGGACAGGTTAACTGAGTTTCTCACAAAGTTGAAAATGAAGCAAAGTTGCAAAAGTTTACAAGAGGCAAACTGAAATTAAGAAATTAAGATCCACTCACAAAGATGAAAACAAAGATGAACTGAAACCTTTACCGATCAAATAATTAACTTTTAAAAGGGTGCTATTATGCTTTTTCACTTTTTCAACTTTAGTTAGTCTGTAATGTTGCTGTTTGAGAAAATGTAAAATATGTGAAAAATAATGTTTCAATAATGTTGTAATAATTTTTCGAAGAACCTAGTATGAGAGCCTGTTCTAGTACACCCCCAAAACAAAATCAAGACTTTGTAAAAGAACATAATAGGACCCCTTTAAACTATATAATTTAATGTAAGTGCTTTAACAACAATATGAGCTTCATATTTCTGTTCATAAACTCTAAGATTCAGTTAACCCATTGACTTCCATTACTGTAAATGATACTTTTTTTCTCAAATTTAAGGGACAGGTCAAGTTGTGTTTCACTTTTAAAACTGGCTGTTTGTTTAACAGGACACCGTATCCATTTATGACTAAAAAAAATACAAGCAGGTCAGCAAGACTCAGGATTTAATATGTCTCTCTCTCAGAAGATGAATGTCTTGAAGGGAAACGATGCACCTCAGACAGCATGATTCACATGTCAAATCAGCATTATATGGTGACTGGGGTAATTTTAAGCTGCTGTGAAGCAGAATTAGTCTTTTTTTTCTGGACTCCTTTTTAATGGTTAAATTAAATTTTATTAGTCAAAAAGCATGTCTAATTAATTAAAATCATGAAACTTTAACAATTTAACATCAATTTATTAAAAGTTTAACAAATATTACATGTTTAGGGCCCTATGAAATGTTTTATTTTTTCCAACCTTATGTTTTATTGTAACCAAATTCTGTTTTAGCATGTCTAATTATTTGAAAGGCCGCTTAATATTTACAAATAGTAGTGGGAGTGGGAGTGGGAGTGCGCTCACTTGTGTGTGTGTGTGTGTGTGTGTGCGTGCGTGCGTGCGTGGGCGGAACTCCGCTGTGCGTGATGCAGAGAGCGCGACCATGTAACGTAGAGACGAAGGTTACACTTTATTTCGATAGTCCACTTTAGACATTCTATTAACTATAAGTAACTTTGTAACTACATGTCAACTACATGTCAACTAATTATCATTAATTTGCAACTACATGTCTACTAACTCTCAGAGTAGACTGTTAGGGTAGGTTTAGGGTTAGTAGAATAAGTTGACAAAGAAAGTGTTAGAAGATAGTCTTAAGTGTTAAGCAGACAGTCTACTAATACTCGACTAACTGCTAGTTGACATGTAGTTGCAAAGTTACTTACTGCTAATAGAATGTCTAAAGTGGACTATCAAAATAAAGTGTAACCCCCTTTTTTTTTTTTAAATAAGATAAGGCTATTTAGTTTGCTTAATAAAAGAACAAGGTATATACATGTTCTATCGGAAAGGCAGGAAAGGCAA